ACCCCAGTGAGACCAGGCCCGGGAGTTTGGGGTCTTGCAGCTTGGTGCTGTGTTGTGCTGTCGGGGAACTGGGGCTCAGGTAGGTGCTGAGTAGGTCCACACTCTTCCTGGGAGCCCCTCCTTTAGGAATCCCTGAGCTCTTCCCTCTGCCCAGGTCTGGGGAGCTCTGTAAGCCACTGTCGGGAAGATGCCCGTGATCACCTTCCTACCCCCAGAGGCTAGGCTGGAGTAATTCCATCCTTCTACTTCTAAATGACTTTCTAAAGTGTGGAGAGAAAGAGAGATTGTGTTTCCTTGGCCCAAGTCGCAGGAAGAAGGCCCCAGGCAGACAGGGGAGCCTGGGAGGCACTGCTCTGTGGCTGGCTGGTGGAAGTGGGTCTTGTGAGAGGCCAGCTCAGCCTAGCCTTGGTTTTGGGCTCCTCTTACTTCGTCTCAGGTCGTTCTGCTCCCAAGAGTAGCACCCCTCTTCCCTTCTGCATCTGAAACTCTCTCAAGCTGCTTTTCCTGTCAGGCTGATGACATCGTGACCTACTGAGAGCCAGGCTTAAGCCTTCCTGGGCCCAAGGCTCAGTGACTGCATGGCTTTAAAAAGGGACTTTCAGTCTGAGATCTACTGTCTCTGCTTTGACCCCCCAGACTTCGGGCTCCAAGAACAGGAAGTGGATGGGCACTCTAATCCTGTATCCATGAGGGTTGCTCTGAGCTCCTCTGCCCTTCTTGATAGGGTGCCTTTGCTGAAGCTCCTTGTCTCAGGGCTCGTGTCTCGCGGGTAGCACTCTGCTAAGCTTCACAGATCAGGAGACGAGGCTGAGGGGCAGCCGTTGCTGGTGGGGGAGGGGCAGACAGACTGCACATTCAGCTCTGATCCTCGAGGATTGCCTTTCAACTTCCTTGTTCCACCACCTACTGTTTATGTCTTTTATGCACAGAGACGGGAAGGATTCTGCTGCCCTAAAAATCCTCAGAAACCACAGATGTCTTCGTGGGCCCTAGCTGGTCAGAGGGCTCTGATCAGCTGGTTCTTCACCCTGCTTTTCTGCCTGGACTGCCTCTGGCACCTCCCGCCCCATAATTATGGCACCCCATTATTCGGCTTCCAGCACCTGTGGGAACATCCCAAAGCAGGAACATGGTTGTGTTTCTCGCCTACTCCCTTCTGCCAAGGTCTCAGGCATATGCCCAGCACTGCCCCATCCACACCGAGGGGGTGGTCCAAGAGCGTCCTTAGTCATCTACATACAGGCTGGCAGCTCTGGTGACCCAGCTCTGAACTTGGAGGGGAGCTCCCAGGGTGGCCTGGAACAGCACCCACAGGCTCTTTGGGATGAGGGGCTCACCTGCCTCTGCCTTCTTTGAATGAATAGTAGGGAGGCTGTGAGTGGAGTTTGGGCTTGGAGACCTGCCTAGCCACACCCTGTCACTCTGGCAGTGGCCCAGGGTGGGGTCTGAGCAGAGGCTCGCAGAAGCTGTTGGTGCTGCCAGGAAAGTGCAGGGAGCTGCAGGCTGGAGGAGGACACTGTGGGGCCTCCTGGTGCCTGTGGGATGTGCTGTCCTTCCAGCAGGACCTGTCCAGGGTACCCAGCGTGGATTCATACAAGACCAAGTGGAACACATGGCCTCACTCTCTGCCCTAGCAGCTCTGTCTCCCTTGGACAGCTGCTCCACACCCTGTTCCCTGAGGTCAAGGACTGCGCCGTTCCCCTCCATCTCCCCTGTGGCCGGGCTGGGGGACATGCCTGGATGGTGCTGCAGGATATCAGGAGGAAAACAGGTTGATAGCTGCTGTTGGGAAGAGTCACAGCGTCTGGGTCCCAGGGAAGGCAACCACATAGGTTCTGCTCCTCTGGGTGGTCATAGCCCACACATAGAGTAGAGGAATTCCTCTACACCCGTCCACCTCCACATCAGTGCTTCTAGGGTCTCCTGCCCCAGCCCCAGTGGAAGAGGAAGGGCAGCGTGTTTGGAGCCCCTGCTGCTCCTGAAGAGGTGGCTTCAGAGGCTCCCCTACTCGACATCTGCCTCCCTTTGGGGCGAGCTGGAGGCTGAGTGCCCTCATGTCCCTGTGCAGCAGCTGTGCCACTAGCGAGGCCCAAGGTCACCAGGCTGACCAGGCCAGGGTTGCTCCTGCCACCACTTGGCAATCAGAAATGTGGATGTGCCAGAGAGCAAGAGTGCTCATCTGGTGCCTCTCTTTTCCTGTTAAAAATAGTATTAAAAATAGTATTTGTAACTAGACAACATTGAACTCATGAACTAGAAACTGGTGGCGTCCCTGACAGTTTCCTTTTTCACAATGCATGAGTGAGGTAGGTTGGGCTTCAAAGATACCAGAGGATACACAGTGACCTCCTTCCCCTTCCAGGAGGTAGCCAAGGGCCCCTGTGTGCTCATGCTCTGGCCTCCCTGCTGGTGAGCTGCTCCTCCCCGTGGGTTTGATTTTGAGGGACCTGTCTCCGCTCCTCCACCCCAGCCAGAAAGCAGGGGCCTCGGGAGCAGAGCAAATCCCGCCGGACACTTGCCAGTCGTTTACATCACCAGCGTCAGTGGCTCTGAGCATGCAGGGCACCCTGACCCTTCAGGGCTGACAGACACACACAAGTCCAGAAACACCAGGCAGAGCATCTGCCTTGGAGCATACGCGGGCAGGGGTTTGGGGCCCACGCATTCTCTCAGGAAGTTGGATACTAGGAAGTGCTGGTTATGATTTTGTTCCTGGACCTGGTTCTTAGAGGGATGTTTATAATAATTTTCAGCAGAACCTCTACAGTCCCCTCTCAGAGATTGATAGCGCTATTGCAGGGTACTGGCCCAGGTAGGGGAGGCGTCAGGCCTCACACTGGTTTTGGGAAGGACAGGAAGGGGCACATGTACCCTGTGGGCCAGTGGAGTGGCCAGGTGGTACCGGGACCTAGGTCCAGGTGAATCTCCATGGCTACTGGCTGCTCACCCAGAGCCCTGCCCTACCTGGGCACCTGTCCCTGGTGGCCCTAGCCATAGGCAGAGGACTATCCCCTGTGCCCCTGACTGGCTTAGAGGTGGTCATGGTCTTGGAGCAAGCAACAAGGAGTGGCTGGGTCACGACATGCCCCTGGGGCCTCCAGCCTACTCTGGGTGAGGGACATATGTGGCTTCTAAATGGACATGGTCCCTGACTTCCTCCCATAGGACTGTTCTTGGGGTGGGGACAGAGTCCTCTATTAGGAGTTCAGGTGGCTGCCAGGCCCAGACCACGTGACTGGTCGGTACCACTCTCCAGTGGACTGTGGCTCCTGCTGATAAGCCTGGGGGTTGGGGCTGCTGCTCCAGGGCCAGAGTCCAGACCCTCCCAGGAGAGTGGGGCTTGCCCTCTGGATAGACGTGTTCTTGGCAAGTTTGCCATGGAGCCTTGCCTCCCAAGGCAAAGACCCAGGCATGAGCTCTGTGGGTTTGTCCTGCTGCAGTGGAGCCGTGTGGGCACCCCCTCTGAGGTGGTGTGCAGGCCTGTCTCAAAACCCTTGATTCACAGAACCTTTCTTCCCGGACTCCTGCCCTGACCAAGCCTGGTCCTCACAGCCCTGTGTGCCGCCATGCATCTGAGGCCTGGGGCTGTGGTCCCATAGTTCCAAGTGCACTGCAAGGCAGACTTTTGGCTGGGCTGTGTCTGTAGTCCCTTTGGTGTTCCCCCCACATAGAATCCCCACGTCCCTGATGGCCCCACCTCTGACATGAGCTGCTGATGCAGGCAGCTGACCACTTTGAGGGAGGGTGGCTGCCAGAGGATATTGTTCCATCGATGCTGGGGGCAGAGAGGTCAAAGTCGAGGCCCTCCCAGGGTGGGATCCCAGCCTGGTTTCTGGAAGGGACTTAGGAGGGTTCACTCAGGCAGAAGTTTCAGGTCCTCCGCATTTCTGCCCAGGGTTCAGGCTTCACCTCTGATGGGTGCAGCCTTGGTGGCCCAGGGAATGATGCCCCAGAAAAGCCTGGGGTCCCCTCAGTGAGCCTTTCTTCCTTTGCACCCCATCCCAGGCCTAGTTCATGCATCCTGTAAGGGTTGTTGCAGTTGGTGAGAACACCATTATTACGAGATGGAGAGATGGGTCTTGAGATTTAATGAGACTTGGGCCCTGGGCCCAAGGTGTTGTGCAGTTGGGACAGGCCTGCTCACCTGGAGAGAATCAGCCAGGCATCAGGTGCGTGGGTCCTGAACACAGACCTGGGCCAGGTGTATACACACATGTCTGTGTGGAGCCCCCGAGTTTGGGGGGATGGGGCATGAGGACCGTGCACCCTCCCTGACCAGTACCTGGGGCTCGGCTTCTGCCAGGTCTCGGCTCCCCAATTCTCCCAGTCCTTGGCCAGGTAACTCGCTTGGTGGGAGCAACTCACCTGTCACCTGCAGGGAAGTGCCCTCGAGCCTGTGTCCTTGCCTCACGGCACCTGCCCCTCTTCCTGCCTCAGGTGTCGGAAGGCCCTGGGGAGCAATGAGAGGCACTGAACTGGATGAGGAAGTGAGGTGTCGCCCCCAGGGCCTGGCCTGCCACCACTGAGACAGATGTGCCCCACACAGGGTCCTGAGGAGAGGGTCGCCCTGATCGAGCCCTTCCCCATCACTCTGGGGAAGAGTCCCCTGCTGTCTTCTCAGGCACTTAACGGGGGTGCTGGTTAACCCTGGTCTTCATTTGGGGCGGGGAGTGGCTGCAGCCCCACCTCCATGTTTCCTTGAGGCCAGATCTAGGCCGCCGTCCCATTCAGATCTAGGACAGTGGTTCCAGAATGAGGACAAGGAGGAGCCAGCATGGTCTGTGGGTGGTGGGGCAGGCACCTCATCCCCTGGTACCCTGTCCTGGAGCGCCCGCCCCTCGTGCTGGCGGGAGGCTGGTGCTGCTGGCATGTGTGCTCCAGCTTCTGCTGGGAGGCCTGCTTACATAGTGTTGTTCTTAAGCCACAGCAGCCGGGGAGCCCCCTGGGGCAGTGTTGTCGGTGCCCAAGTGGTCTGGGTGCCGGCTTAGTAAGCGAGGACTCAGAAAAGAGGGGATGAAAGGACTTGGTTCTTGGGGCAGGAGCAGAGGCGACGAGGCTCTTGCCCGGGGCCTGGGTAGCTGTGTTTGTGAAAGCCACCTCCCTGGTGGGTTGTCCTGATATGGGTTTCCACGCATCACCCTGGGCAGGGGGACCCTTGAGCCAGGGCAAGCCAGGGCTCCTCACCAACCCCGCAGGCCAGAGCTAGAGTGTGAGGGTTTTGGGTTCTGGCATCCCGGGAGAGGCCCCTCCAGAGCTGGCTGCTTCCTAGGGGGCATCCATACTTTCTCTTGGAGGCCTCAATGAGGGTGGGCTACATGGTGGCCTGGCTGCCCCAGACCCTCTTATTTGCAGGGTCAGTGTTTCCTGAAGGCAGGTCAGGAGGCCGGCACATAGGGTGTGGCTGCTGTTGAGACTTGGGTGCAGAGCTGGCCCTGCTCAGTACCGTGTGCTCTTCCCACATGCAGTGGGGTCACTGGCGTGCACCCCAAATGTCTGTGCCTGAGCACCCACTACCCCAAAGTTTAAAGCATTGATGAAGAGCAGGCGGTCCTCACAGGACTTTGGTGCCCTTTTCTCCAGGCAGAGCCAGGCCCTGTGGCCCGCAGATCCCCCATGGGCCCAGGGCTACACCTCACTTTTCACTGGGGCTGGTTTCCTCCCTGGCTGTACCTGCATCAGATGCACATGATGCCAGCTGACCGGGCCACGGGCACACTGTCTACTCTCACCCATGCTCTGCTCTCACAGTGGACACGGGTTGAGCTCTTACTCAGGGGTAGAGCAGCCCTGGATCGAGCTTGAGCAGTTCTGCTCCATGGGCAGCTTCGCTGAGCCCAGCTTCAGCTCAGGCCATCACCCACCCAGGATTTGACTGTGAAAGGGGAGTGTCAGGAACACGTGGGCTCTCTTCCTGTGAGGGCCTTCTGGATGCGGTGGGGTTCAGGAACCTGGGGGAGCTGTTCCAGTGGTTCTAGTATCCGACTCATAACCATGGGCAAAGCAGATGTAAATGACCCTGCTCACCTCTGGCATGCGTGGCTGCTGCCCCCGGAGTGTGGCTGGTCTCCATGGAGAAGAGCATCAGCCACCGTAGGGGAAGGACCTTGACTGAACACAGGTGGCGCGTGAGTCGCGTGGGGCTTCATCCTGATTTCTAAATGACACGGTGATGTTTTGGATATGTTGGGTTACCTGGGATAGGTTATCAAGACTCCTTTTACCTGTCTTATCTTTTTCACGTGGCTGTCGGAGGGTTAGAAATGACACGTGTGGCTCACACAATGTTCCTACTGGGCTGTGCTCCTGTAGCCGGAGGCCCAGCCCTTCTTTCAGGGTCCAGGTGGGCACTGTCGGCTTGCAGGACACGGGGCCTCTGTACCACCACTTGGCTCTGGTCCTGCTGAGCAGAGGACACTTGAGTGGTAGGTGACTTTCAAGGTCGTCAAGCCTGTCAGGGCCTGTGTTGCTCTGTCCATGTCCCTCAGAATAAGGGTCCAGGCAAACGGTATCACTGCAGGAGACTCAGCTGTTCTGACTGAAGCTCTAATGGGGCAGTGGGCCCAGACTTCTCCCACCCCTGTCCTGTGGCGGTTGGTGCCCCAGGTTCCAGAGCTGCGCATGCTGGTCACTCCCAGGTGTGGGCAGACTTACTTGTATACCCTGGTGCAGCATGGACCAGTATTTCTAGGGGGCTTGGGCGCTCACTGGCTCACCTGTATGCAAGGACAGCTCCCCTCGGTTTTACCCCACCGCTGACCCCTGTGCACAAGGGACTTACTAGGAAGCTGGGGGAGGGTGTCATTGGGTGATGCAGACCAGGTGGTAGGGGCAGAGCTGCTGGTCACCTGCTAGGCCAGAAAGCCAAGCAGACACCCACACTGGGCCAAAGCCCAGCCCAGGTGTCTTTCCTGAACTGACTGGGACTTGCCTCGTTTGAAATGGGATGCACCTGGTCTCTTGTTACAGGGCAGATGCTCTTGGACCCATCGGCCTTCCCGAGAGGGCAGGCAGTCACCCTACTGGAGGCCTTGCAGCCTCCCGGGTCCCTCTCGGGTCACCCATCTCTGGGTTGGGAAGGCTATCCCTCTAGAAAGGCCATGGTGGCCTCCCTGTGGCTGTGGGCAGCACCCAGTGCCCCTCTTGGAGGCCGTCTTGCCAGGGCTCACCTGCCCCACTGGGCTCTCTTCCCTTACTTTCCTTTCCTCTAGTTAAATATCTCCTCCATCCTTTCGTCTAAGGATAACACCCTCTTTAAAGACCAGTGGCTGTGGCACAGCCGTCTCTCTTCCGTGGGTGGCTGATGGGTTGGTGTGGGTTTTCAGAAACAGAGAAGAGGGCGTCATTACGGGGCAGAGGCGTGCCGTGTGCCGGGGGTGCAGCTCTGTCAATGCTGAGCCCGAGGCCCTGGTAGGACCCCTGGCTATGGGGGCACTGGAGAACCTCCCAGGGCTTCTGGGGACTCCATGCCTGTGAATCACGCTATCTTTTCTCTTTCTCTTTATTCTGTGTTTATTTCTGTTGTTGTCATGTGACTTGGACCAGCCCAGCTGCCCTGTCTCCGGTGTGGGTGCTCCATGCTCCACCTCGCCCGCCACCGCCGGCCACATGTGACCAGGCCCGGCTCTCAGCGTGGCCACTGTCGCGGAGGCCATGGGGAGCTCCGCCTCCTCGCTGGCCGCCGAGACCGAGTCGGACCACGGCTTCCCCGGGGGACCATCCTACCCAGGGCCCCCGGCAGCAGCCGGCTGGTGTAGGAGTGGCCCCGGGGGGCCTGTCTGGGGCAGCACCCTGGTCACCCGGCAGCATCAGCCCCCACGCCCCCGGGCCCGAAGGTAAGAAGGTGGGGAGGGGTTGGCCCCGAAGGACCCAGAAGGGCGGGTGCTGCTTTGTCAGGGTGCGCCCTCCTTGACAGAAGGGCTTTCAGAGAAATGGGTCTCTGTTCCTTAGGGTACCCTGGGGTTGCTCACCCAGCAGAGAAGGTCTGGGATGCTGGCCCCTCCCTTAGCATGGTAGTGGGTCTCAGCCTGGCTGGCTGGAGGTAGTTGGGACAGGCACACACTGCCTGCCTTTGGCCCGGGGCTTGCTTATCTAATGCTGAAGCTGGAGCTGCTGCTGGAGCTTCTTGCAGGGGAGGGGCGTGCACGGGGGATGCTGGCTTGCTTCTCATGGGACTTTGGGGCACTACCCTGGCCCCCTGCCTGTGTGGGGGCTCCTGCTCTGACATGGCTGCCTGCAGGGGTGCAGTGGGGACTGTGGGGCCCTACTGGCAAACCTTCACCTGTCAGCTTCTTCCAGCTACAGCTGTGGCCGGACACAGCCCAGGTTTCTCTGCTCAGGCTGCCCCAGATCACCTGGAGGGCTTCCCCGCTAGGTGCTGGGGTGACAGAGTGGGGCAAGTTGGGCTCCAACATCCCAACCCATACTGACACCCCTGCCTTCACCGCATCCTGTGGCCTCACTGGAGGGAAGGATGCCCAGGGCTCAGCAGACTTTTGGGTCCCCAGACCTTGGGCCAAAGGCAGCCCTCACTCCTGGCCGCCCAGGCCTGGGTTCAGTGGGTAGCAGACACCATCCTCTGTCTCTTGAAGGCACCTGCAGTGGCCCTTTTCTGTCACTTCCCTCGGACCCAGCTCACTTGTATAGAACATTCCCCAGGGTCTGTGGGCCCCAGATGTGTCCCAGGCCTACCCACTAGGTGACTAGCAGGCAGGGCCCTGGTAAGTGTGCAGGAGCAGGACCAGCCTCCTGGGAGGCTGCCCAGGGAGTCGCAAAGTCTTGTCTGTGTTATCTTCAGTGGACTGAGTCATGGGAGCTTGAGGTCCTGAGGGATGTGCTGGGAAGCAGATGGTGGCAGGGACAAGCGAGTTAGCAAATCGCTTCAGTTCTCTTGTTACTGTATCGATGACACTTTTATTGAGGTGTAACTTACATACAGTCAAATTCACCACTCACAAGTGTTCAGCTCAGTGGTTTTAGTCCATTTGTGGGGTTGTGCAGTTGTTACCACAACCCAGCTTCACAGCATCTCAGTGACCCCAAAAGATCCTGCCCACTTGTAGTCACCCCCTCCCCTCCAGCCCCTGGAAACCACTCATCCATTTTTGGTGTTTGTGGATTGCTTGTTCTGGACGCTTGGTATCAGGGGAATCACGCAATGTGTGACCTGCTGTGTCTGCTTTTGTGACTGAGCCTCGTGTTCTCAGGGCTCATCCACGTTATAGCGAGTGTTGGTGCTTCCCTTCTTTACAGCCAAGCGACACACCACGCATGGAGTTGGCCTGCTCATTAGCTGATGGACGTTTGAGTTTGGATTTTATGAATCTGCTGCTGTGAAAGTTTCTGTGTGGGTTTTTGCGTGGACATTTTTTCACTTCTCTTGGGTAGACACCTCGAACGGAATTGCTGAGGTTTATTTAAGTTTATGATTAACTTTCTGAGAAACTGCCAGGCTGTTTTCTCTAGCGGCTGTGCTGTTTTGCGTCCCCAGCAGCCGTGTGGGGAGGGCCCTGGTATCTCCACACGCTCCGAAGCTGTTACTGCCCGCGGTCCCAGCCTCCCGGTGGTTTGGTCTGCGTCTCCCTGGTGGCTGGTGCATCTCTTCACACCTCTCTCCAGCACACATGGCATTTATTTCCACATATTTGTTTCCTCAAGATAAATTGCTAGGAGTAGAATTACTGGGTCTGAGGAGGGAGGCTGGGCCTGAAGCAAGCAGCAGTGAGATGGAGACCCCGTACCCCAGGCTGCTCGGGCCTGTTGTACCCTGGCTCACACTGTCCTGCGGGTGGCCTGGGTGACATTGCCCTTTCTCCTTCTCTCCCTCCTGCCAGGCCCCTCCCCAGGCAATGCAGGCAGGCGGCCCGACCACCAGACACCACTGAGAGCGGATCAGGAGGAAGTGCTGTTAGTGACCTCGAGGAGTCCAGACACCCAGGCTAGCAGTGAGAAGGGACAGTGCAGGGAGCTGGACGTGGCAGATGGTGGGAAGAAGGGCAGAAAGGCAGGCGGCCCAGCAGAACCCCTCTTTGCACCTACACCTGGATACCTGGACACGCACATGTGCTGCTCTGGCACCTCAGGGGCAGCTGGGCACGTGCATGGGACACAGTCAGGCAGACCCTTCCCCTGCTCCAGTGGGCATGCGCACGGTGAAGAAACCAGCCCTAGGCTGCCCCACTCACTGAAGAGCCTCCATGTCTGGGCATGTCACCCATCCCCATTGATATGGGTGTCAACCACCTGCAAGCTCCAGGCCTTCCCTGGGGACACAGACAGAGGACAACCGAGGCAAGCTGAGGGTGATCTCAGAGGGAGGCGCCTAGGTATACCTCAGAACCAGCGAGGGTCAGGGGACAGGTAGCCACATCCTGCACAGGAGCCTGGCCTCAGGTCTGGTGGCCTGACTGAGGTCCTTGAGTGCAGAGACCACTAACTGCTCTCAGCTTCCCTGGGAAGGAGGAGGCCATCTCCCAGGCCTGGGCTGCACCCAAGGTGGTGGTAGGCCATCCCTGCCTGTCCCCAGGTGTCCCCGGAATGTCCTGGGCACCTCCATCACCTCTCTCTTGAGTTGGGGCCAAGTGTTGCTGCTCCCAGATAACTGAGAGCAGAGCAGGCATTCGGTGTCGGGTTTTCCTGGACAGTCACCTCAGTTTCCCACTCAGCCTTTCTGTCGTGAGGAGTAACTTGAGTCGTTTCCTCTATGTCCTGGAGGTGGGTGTGCTGGCCTCTGCATGAGCATGGGAGGGGTTGGGTTGAGGCTTTGGTTTGACCCTGGGTTCTGGGTGCCTATCTCTTAGTTCCAGGCTTTGTCTGTGGTCTGCCCTCACCTTCACACATTGTAAGGATCCCAGGCCTGGGCCCCTAGTGAGGCAAGGTGGCCGTGAGAGTGACCCTGGGTTGTAGAGACTGGAGCTGGGGAGCTGGGGAACTGAGTGGGACTCAGGCCCAGGATCCCCTCTGGCAAGCTCCCTGCTCAGGGCTCCTCAGGACACCCGATCACCAACCCCTGGGTCACCTTGTCTCAGCCCAGCCGGTGATGTTGAGGTACGGACTGAGGTGTGGGCCACAGGGGTGAGAGAACGCAGCCCCCACTGCCTCCTTCCAGCCCTGGGCTTCCCTCTGCCTCCCTGGGGCTGTATTTGACCTCCAGGCAGTGTTTTCAGGCAAACTTTCTGAACTCCACACACAATCTTCCTGATTCAGCTGGTACACCAGAACTGCTGTGAAACCTGCCCTGTGTCACGCCTGTCCTGGTCGTGACACCCCATCATGGGGTCGTGAGGGTGGGTGAGACTTGGGCTCCCTCTCTCCCCCAGGGTCTGCTCAGCGCATCTGGAACCATCGGGAGCCAAGGGCAGGTGTGTCCTAGGAGGGCCCCAGCCCACCTGTCCTGTGCTGGGGGCAGGGGCCTGAATCTTGTCCCTGGAGACCTCTCCCAGCAGCAGGTGGTCTACAAAAGGTCAGACCAGCTCTGCAGGCCCATGTGACCAGGCCAGGTGGGGCACACTGGGAGTGACCATCCTCTGAGCCTGGGGCCTGGGCGGAGGCTGCCCAGGACCCAGTGTGTGTGTGTCTGTCTGTGTGTCTGTCTGTGTGGGCACACATGTGCCCATGCCTTAAGCATGGACCCTTCTCTGAGCGGGGAGCCCTGGTTGTAGGGGAACCCCCGGTCGTCTCCAGGCAGATTTCTTTGGCTTTTCGTAGTACAAAGGCCAAGGCCAAAGCTGACCTAGCCAGCCCACCCTGCTGGTGCTGGATGCCCCCGCCTACCCACCCTACCCATCCGCGTGGGCGCCCTGGGCAAAGCTGTGGGCAGCTCTTAAGTCTCAGCCACACAGGGCGGCTTCACAGTTTGCTCTGGGCCGAGAAACAGTCGTGCTGCTCGGGGGAGGTTTTTAGTTTATTGTTTTTGAAGAGGCAAGTTTTCTTTCTTCCTGAAGGGTTTGGCACAAACGTAGCATGAGAAGCACAAGCTTCATGCCTTGTTGTGAAGAACAACTGATTTTTCTGCCGAGCAGAGCGACTCCAGTCAGTGTGGGAGACTGTGTGTGCTGAGGAGTGTAAACACCCGCTCGCACCTGGATTAGCCCTCGAAAGGCAGGTCAAAAGGCCAGCGCTGCCCACCCCCAGATGCTCCTGTTCCCTCCCTCCCCTCTAGGGATTTCCAGCTCCTTTCTCCCGCTGGATTTGCCCGTCCTGAACATTTCCTGCAGACAGAATCACACCGCACATGGCCTTTTGTGTCTCTCAAGGCTCACCTGTGTTGTAGTGTGTTGTTCTTCATCCTCCATGGTGGCTGAATAACATTCCACATTTTGTTTATCCATTTATTCATTGATGGATACTTGGGTGGTTTCCACCTTTTTGACTGTTGTGAGCAGATCTGCTGTGTGTGTTTGTGAAGTGCGCCAGTGTTCAGCTCTTCGAGTGTGGACCCAGGGATGGAATTGCTGGGTCACATGGTGGTCCTCTTCAACTTTTGGGGTAACTGTCAAACTGTTTTCCAGTCCCACCAGCAATGTAGGAAAGATTCTGGTTTCTCCATGTTCTTGCCAACACTGTTTCAGTCTCCCTTTTGATTCTGGATCTCTTTGTGTCTTCAAGTCCTCTGCCCATTTTTAAGACAGGTTGTTTGTTGTGTAGTTTGAAGAACTATTTACATATTCTGGATACTAGAGCATTATCAGTTACATGATTTGCAGATACTTTCTATGCTGTGGGTTCTCTTCACTTTCTCAGTGGTGTCTTTTAAAGCATGAAAGTTGCTAATCTTGATATAGTCCTCTTACTTTCCTTTATTTACCTGTGCTTTTGGTGTCATCACTGCCAAATCCAAGGTTGTGAAAGTTTACTTTTCTCTCTTCTTCTAAGAGTTTTCTAGTTTTCATTCCTACACTTAGGTCATTGGTCTGTCTTGAGTTAGTTTTTGAATATGGGGTAGGGTAAGGGTCCAATCTCATTTTTCAGCATTTAGATCCAGTTTTCCCAGCACCGTTTGTTGAAAAGACCATTCACTCCCCATCAAATGATCTTGACAATCTTGTCAACACTCCCTGACTGCTGCCTTTCCTTGCAGCCACACGCACTCGCCTGGGCCCATGGCCGCAGTTGGGGAGTGGTCCTGTGCACGCTGCACCTTCCTGAACCCTGCCGGCCAGCGCCAGTGCTCCATCTGTGAGGCTCCCCGACACAAGCCTGACCTCGACCAGATCCTGCGGCTCAGCGTGGAGGAGCAGAAGTGGCCCTGTGCCCGCTGCACGTTCCGTAACCTCCTGGGCAGGGAGGCCTGCGAGGTGTGTGGCTTTGCCCCGGAGCCTGTCCCTGGGGCCTCCCTGCTGCCTGTCATCAACGGGGTCCTGCCTAAGCCACCTACTGTCCTGCTGGAGCCCAAGGGCAGCTGCAAGGAGGAGGCGGGGCCAGTGCTGACAGCAGGGTCTGTGGAACCAGCTGGGGGGCAGCCTGAGGAAGAGCAGGAAGAGGAAGAAGGGGAAGGTGGGGAGGCGGCAGCAGAGCCCGGGAGCGGCTGGGCCTGCCAGCGCTGCACACTGCACAACACGCCCGTGGCCAGCTCCTGCTCTGCCTGCGGGGGCCCCCGGAAACTCTCACTGCCTAGGATCCCTCCTGAGGCCCTGGTGGTCCCCGAAGTCGTGGCTCCTGCTGGCTTCCATGTCACGCCTGCCCCACCACAGCCAGGGGAAGGCATCGAGGCTGACCCTCCCTCTGCTGTCGACCAGGAGCCCCCCCGGGGGCCACCCTTCAGTCCCTTCTTGCCCACCCTTCAGAACAACCCTGTGCCTCGCAGCCGCCGCGAGGTGCCCCCCCAGCCGCAGCCACTGGTGCCTGAGGCCACCCAGCCCTCCCCCTCTCCCGGCTCCAAGGGGCCCCCACAGGGCCTGGGGCGGACCACAGCTGGGGCTTCCCGTCTAGCAGAGCTGCTCTCCAGCAAGCGGCTGAGCTTCCTGGAGGAGGAGGTGGCCGAGAGTGGCCCCACGTTGCGCCCACCTGGCCCTGCCAGCCCAGCCCACTGTGAGGCTGGCGGGGCCATGCCAGGCAGTGACGTCATTGACCTGGCAGGTGATACTGTGCGCTACACACCTGCCAGCCCCTCCAGCCCCGACTTCACCACCTGGTCATGTGCCAAGTGCACGCTCAGGAACCCCACGGCGGCCCCACGGTGCACAGCATGTGGTTGCTCCAAGCTGCACGGCTTCCAGGAGCACAGTGAGCCCTCCGCCCGCTGCCCCAACTGCAGCGCGGACAAGTCCGGGCCCTGCTCAGCCCACAAGGCCAGCCGCCTCTTCCCCATAGCACCACCTGAGCGCCCAGGCCAGTGGGCCTGCCCTGCCTGCACCCTCCTCAACACATCCCGGGCCAAGCACTGTGCCGCCTGCCACACTCCCCAGCTTCTGGTGGCCCAGCGTCGGGGTGCAGCGGCCCTGAGGCGCAGGGAGAGCATGCATGTGGAGAAGCGGCGGCAGACAGACGAGGGCGAGGCCAAGGCCCTGTGGGAGAACATCGTGGCCTTCTGCCGGGAGGTGGGTCCCAGGACCTCCCCCTTGCGCCTCCCTAGCCCCAAGTGAGGCCCCCTCTGCATCGCTTGTCCTTCCCTGCTGTCCCTTCTCCGTCCAGGGAGAGAGTAGGACCCTCCTGGCTCTGAGCTTGGGTGGGCCACCACAACACCCTTTGCCTGAGTGTGTGAGCCCTTCTGCCTCTGTGCCCACAAGGGTCCATGACCCCTTGGCTAGGGCGAGAGTTCTTACAGATGGTGCCGAGGGAGGTGGGGATGCAGGCAGTGGCTTCACACCAACAGGCAGGCCTGGTGCTTCTAGCCATGGAGACCCTGCTGAAACTCCAGGTTGCGGCGCCCCCTCATGCTCTTCTGACCTTGGAGCTGTAGTAGATGTGAGCCCAGGGCAACATCACCCCCAGGGTCAGCTGGCGTGGGTATCTGTCTCCTCTTGGGCTGCTGCCCTCCATCACTGCCAGCAGCCAGCCCAGAAGCTTGTGTTCTGGCTGCTGTCCTCCACCTCTCTTCCTGGGGCCTTCAGTGCAGCAGACTGTGCAGGAAGGCTGCCCAGGTTCCCCGAACCCCATGCCCACCCCCTCCCCCTGCAGCCTCCATGCTGGGGGCTGCACCATCTCCCTGGGGTGCACACACCTACTGACCCATCACCAGCCTGCAGCAACGTCCTGATTGGCTGTGGTCCTCCATGCCTTGCATGGGGATGGTGTGGGCCCCACAAGCCACCCATAGGGATCAGCGGTCTGCACACATACCCACTTCTTCCTTTTGGGGCTCAGGCAGAATTTTCAGGGTGCTCCCCTGGGCAGGGGTCCAGCCCAGCCTGAGCATGTGGCCATGGTCTCTGCAGAACAGTGTGAACTTTGTGGACGACAGCTTCCCCCCTGGGCCCAAGTCTGTGGGCTTCCCTGCGGGCGACAGCGTCCAGCAGCGTGTGCGACAATGGCTGCGGCCCCACGAGATCAATTGCTCCGTGTTCAGGGACCATGGCACCTCGTGGTCTGTGTTCCACACTCTCCGGCCCTCGGACATCCTACAGGGCCTCCTGGGGAACTGCTGGTGAGTTTGGGGTGCCCAAGTAGGGTGGGCAGTGGGCGGGCCGTGCTCACCATGACCCTGGCTGTGGCAGGTTCCTGAGTGCACTGGCGGTGCTGGCCGAGCGGCCTGACCTGGTCGAGCGGGTGATGGTCACACGCAGCCTGTGTGCAGAGGGTGCCTACCAGGTGCGGCTCTGCAAGGATGGCACATGGACGACGGTGCTGGTGGACGACATGCTGCCCTGTGATGAGGCCGGCTTCCTCCTCTTCTCACAGGTGGCGGTGGGCATGCGCGGGGTGGGCCTGGTGGGCGCAGGCCCAGAGACGGGCCTCATGACTCCAGCCCCTCCACATAGGCTCAGCGCAAACAGCTGTGGGTGGCCCTCATCGAGAAGGCACTGGCCAAGCTGCACGGCTCCTACTTTGCCCTCCAGGCCGGGCGTGCCATCGAGGGCCTGGCCACGCTTACTGGTGCCCCCTGTGAGAGCCTGGCCTTGCAGGTCAGCTCTACCAACCCCCGCGAGGAGCCTGTGGACACTGACCTCATCTGGGCCAAAATGCTGAGTTCTAAGGAGGCTGGGTAAGAGGGATGGCTGCACTGGGGCCTGGAATGGTGGGAGAAGCAGAACCAGCACCCTCTGACCTGCACTTATGTTTCACAAGATGTTTCTGTCAAGGGCTGGCCACAAGCCTAGCTCCTCCTGCTGGGCCAGTCTTCCCACCTGCCCACGCTAGGTGGGAAGCAGGCGGGATGCTGCCCATTGGCCTGTACCTTGAAGGCCCCATCCTGACCTGGGCCTGTGATGGCCATCCACATCCAGTTGGAGTCGTGGAGAGTGAGCCCCATGGAGGCACCTGGCAGGAGCAATGGGGGAGAGGCATAGCATGAACTAGCCAGTGTCTACGGGAAGGGCCCAGGACTCCAGGCCTGAGGGAGACAGATCATTGGTACTGGGACTCTTACACTCAGCTGTACATGGCCCCACCCTCTTAGGGAGCTGCAGCCCTGAGCTGGCTGAGCCAGCCAGCCTCACAAGATCTCCAAGGGACCCAAGCCTGCCCGTCCTCCTGCCCAAGCTCTCTGAGCTCTTGGGCCAGCACTTCTCACATGGGTCCCCCACCCTGTGCTGTATCTCCCCGGGGGCAGTGCCAGGGCCAGAAGGGATCCCCCAAAGAGTGAGCCCACCCCCACACCCCCATAATTGAGGCCTCCAGTTACTGAGGGCCCCTGGTCAGCAGGGATGCTCTGCCCTCACAGGTTCCTCATGGGCGCCTCCTGTGGAGGGGGCAATATGAAGGTGGACGATGCTGTGTACGAGAGCCTAGGCCTGCGCCCCCGCCATGCCTATTCCATCCTGGATGTCCGGGATGTACAGGGCTCCAGGTGAGGACTGGGCTGGCCCCGGACAGCTAGGCATGTGGATGTGTGGTGGAAGCTGTGGGGGGTGTGGCTGTGGCCCTCAGCCCCGTGGTCCACAGGCTCTTGCGCCTCCGGAACCCGTGGGGCCGCTTTTCCTGGAACGGCAGCTGGTCAGACGAATGGCCACACTGGCCAGGGCACCTGCGGAGTGAGCTCATGCCGCACGGCAGCAGCGAGGGCGTTTTCTGGATGGAGTACAGTGACTTCATCAGGTACTGGATGCTGGGCAGCAAGTGTCTGATGTCAGCCCCAGACACTCACCCCAGCATGTGTGGTCCTCCCCTGGGAGCCTGGCCTCTGCCTTCTGCCATCCAAGGGCCTGAGCCATCTTGGAATCCAGGTCAGCAAAAGCGGGGGTGGGGGTGCTTCTGCCACCAGGGCTGTCTGTGGGCCATTTTTAGGGCCTGTTGCCCCCTGGTGGTGTCCGCATGCAACAGCCAGGACCAGAGCTTCCAGGACACTGGTCCCAAGAGATGCTAATGGGCAGGGACGCCTGCCACCCAGCCCAGGGATGTGCTCTGTGTCTGGAGCTGGGGTGGGGGCTGTCCTCTTGCCATCCAGGTACTTCGACTCTGTGGACATCTGCAAGGTGCACTCAGACTGGCAGGAGGCACGGGTGCAAGGCTGCTTTCCCAGCTCAGCCAGCGGGCCCGTGGGCGTGACAGCCCTCACAGTGCTGGAACGGGCATCCCTGGAGTTTGCTCTCTTCCAAGAGGGCAGCAGGTGAGCGGAGTCAGGCCTGCGGGGGTCGGGCAGCAGGGGGGCCGGGCCTGGCTGCCCATGACCCCTTCCTATGGACACAGGCGCACGGACTCAGTGGACAGCCACCTCCTGGACCTCTGTGTACTGGTGTTCCGGGCATCCTTCGGCAGTGGTGGCCGCCTGAGCCTGGGCCGCCTGCTGGCCCACAGCAAACGGGCCGTCAAGAAGTTCGTCAACTGCGATGTGATGCTGGAGCCCGGCGAATATGCCGTGGTGTGCTGTGCCTTCAACCACTGGGGCCCCACACCGGGCCCACCGGCTACGCAGGGTGAGGGCCCTTGGCACCCACCCAGCATGCACCACCACCCACGCCCCATAGTGGAATCCCTGCCTCACCCAGACCCAGCAGCGTGACTCCGCCTACACCCATCGGCCACTGCACAGAATAACAATCCCCTCCATGCCCTGCATGGCCTCCCCAAGCCGGCATGCCCCGTCCCCACTTCTGGCCACCTGGTGGGAAGAGCTGCCTACTCCCCTCACCCAACATCTCCCACAGCCTCTAGCCCTTCAGTGGGCGTCCCGAGGAGCACCCCAGAGCCGCCTGGCCACGTACTGGCCGTATACAGCTCCAGGCTTGTCATGGTGGAGCCCGTGGAGGCCCAGCCGACCACACTAGCTGACGCTATCATCCTGCTCACAGAGAGCAGGGGCGAGCGGCACGAGGTAGATGGGTGTGGGCCTGGGGGGTGGGGAGGCAGTCTGGTCTGCCCTCCCACCCACACCTGCACTGCCTATGCCCAGGGACGCGAGGGCATGACCTGCTACTACCTGACGCATGGCTGGGCGGGGCTCATCGTGGTGGTGGAGAACCGGCACCCCAAGTCCTACCTGCACGTGCAGTGCGACTGCTCAGACAGCTTCAACGTGGTGTCCACACGCGGTAGCCTGCGCACCCAGGACAGCGTCCCGCCCCTGCACAGGTGGGCACCGCCCTCTCCCCGTGGCTCCCCAGCCTCCGCAGGCCCTCACTGCCCCCCTCCCCCAGGCAGGTCCTGGTGATCCTGTCCCAGCTGGAGGGCAATGCCGGCTTCTCCATCACCCACCGCCTGGCGCACCGCAAGGCAGCCCAGGCCTTCCTCAGCGACTGGACAGCCTCCAGGGGCAGCCACAGCCCCCCACTCACCCCCGAGGTTGCTGGCCTACATGGGCCCCGGCCGCTGTGACCGCCCCACGCCTACCTGCCTGCCCCCACACGCACTTTATGAGGGAGACCCCAACACAGGACGCTTGAACCAGAATCTCAGGACCCAAACTAGGGAGTGCCAGCCACAGGGTGCAGCTTCCCCTGGGCCTTCCTCCCTGCCCCTTCCTCCTGTCCAGGGCCTCCCAGCCCAAGCAGAATACCTCGAACTGGCCTTTAGCTCAAAGGGGCTATGTGGCAGCCCCTCTGACCAGCCCACCTTGAGGTCGGGCTCAGACTGCTAGGGCCTCCTTCCTGGGTGAGGCAGCCAAGAGCTCCATTCACAGAACCAAATCTGGGCGGTTCAAAGGCCAGGACCCCAGGGTGAGAGCAGAGACCAGCTCCTCTGTGGGAGTCAGAGGCCAGGACGCTGGGGTGAGCAGGGACCAGAAGCCGGGACCCCAGGATGAGAACAGGGACCACCTCTTTGGGGGGTCACAGGCCAGAACCCCAGGGCAAGAGCAGGGACTACTCCCCTAGTGGGGCATGAGATCAGGAGCTTTTTCTCCCCAGTTTGGCCCTGGTACCTGTCTCCCCCCTCAACCCCCATGAGGCACGTAGGAGTCCCTGAAGTCCAGCAGTGTGTCCCAGGAAGCAGGTGCCTGGTGACCATGGGCTCAAGTAAGGGTGGGGAGGGACACTATGCAATTCCTGGAGTGCCAGCCAGGATCGAAGCCATGTCCTGGGCTGCAGTGGGGGCAGCAGGTCAGGTGGGCCTGAGCCCAGCTCTGCTGCTAGGTGAGGTAGGCACCACCTGACCTCTGCCGGGAGGAACACAGTCCAGCAGAAATCCTTGGCCAGCCCTATCCAGGCACACACAGGGTGCGGCCCCTCCCAGCCTCTCCCCACCTCAGAAGCCCAGCATCCTCCCCATGGCTGCTCTGCCCTGAGTTCTGTATCTGCCCAGGGATGTCTGAGGCCAGCTTCCCCGAGGCCCACCCGGCCCCCTGTCCTGCGGCCCCCAGGTAGCAGGTGGCCCTGCCCACTGCCCCTCACTTCCCATGGGGCTTGCAGGGGGTGGGCTTACACCTGGAGAAGCAACCAGAAGCACTAGGCTACCCCTTGGACCTCCTTTATACTTTCTCCTTTTACCTGAGCTGTGAGTATTTTTAACCCTGTACATACGGCAGCTCTTCTGACGCAGAGACTATTTTATCAATTGTCAGTACCATCCCTATAGGATGACTCCATGGGTGTTCCCAGACTCAGGCTCCGAAGGACCAAATAAAAATGTTTTGTTTTGTAACGATTCCTCCTCATCTGTCTGTTCCCCTCTCCCCGAGGGATTCCAGGCCCCTCCCCTCCCCTTCAGGGGCAGAACTATGCTGGAGAGCACCCAGGCCCACCTGGCGACAGCTCCTGGGAGGTGGGGATTGCTCAGCCAGGGCCTGAGGTCAGCCCCACAGGGAGCCTTGAGGGACACCCTGCTCACTAGCTGCCTGTGCCCCAGGAAGGATGGAGTGCGGGAAGGCTCAGGCCAGACCTCACGATGGTTGGCAGACTGATCCCCACAAGGCCTCAGCCCCATGCAGACAGAGACTGTATGCATGCGCAGCTTTTCCCAGAGAGACACCTGCGTTCGGAGGGCCTGTCTGAATCCATCAGAGTCATTCAGAGAAGCAGATGGAGCAAGGGGCTGTGTGGAGAGAAAAGTTGGTCTGCGTGCCCCTTCCCTGCCGTCCTTGTTGCACAGGTGGTAGCCGAGGCTGGGCACGCAGTTGGCAGTCTCAGACTGGGCACCTGGGCAGGATCCACAGCAGAAGCTGGTCTCCCTGGACGGAGGGCTGCTGAGAGGGGAGCTAGGGTGCAGAGGCCGCTTGGAGGGTGTAAGAGGCCTGTCACAGGCCAGCCTATCGAATGTGAAAGCAATTAAAGCCACCAGCAGTGTTCGCTCCGGGCGGGCCTCGGGCAGCGGAGGAGCTGCCACAACACATCTCACCTCGGCGCCCGCAAACGCCCTCCTTCCTCCACCATGGCTGCGCCGGCCACACTGGACCTTGTCCCAGGAGTGGGGGTTGCAGGGACAGCCGTGTGCACCCCCATGTTGGCACAGAGCTGGCTCCACCACCCCTGGGGCCTCCTGGGCAGACTGGACTTGCATTCCTCCAGCCCCAGGAAGGCCCAGGAAGCGAAATTTGACAGCAGGTGTCCAACATCCTTGTGCACCCAGGCAGGGGTCTCCACAGTGGGATGGGGCTGTGTGCCCACCCTGTCAACTGGCCTGCAGAGCCCAGCTTGCCCCAACCAGCACCCTCTTCCCACCCCTGCTCCATCAGGGAGGGGCTGAGGGAAATGAGGGCCAGAAGCCCCCAGCCCCAAAGAGTACAAAGTGTCAGGAGGAGTCAGGGACCTGCAGGTGGGATGCTTTGTCAGGACGTGAAAGCTCATGGGAAGTGCTGGCCAGGGTGGAGGTGGAGGCCTGGCCAGGGTCGGGGGCTCCTGGGGAGGTAGCTCCTGTGAGGAGAGGATGGGGGAGCCAGCCTGAGAGGGGACTTTGTCCCCCATGCCCTTGGCCATCACAGGGTGGCACCTGGGCCCAGGCCAGGTGTGAGAAGTGGACAAGGGAGAGCCACCTCTGCACTGTCTGGCCCTGGCTCCCTGCTCAGCCTACTGCCTACTGCGTCTCTGACCCTCTGACCACTGGGGCTCCTGGTCTTGAGCCCACTTCTCTCCCTGTCTCATCCCCACCTTCCCCTTCCCATGTCCCTGGCCCCCTCCCCATCTCTGCCAGGCCCTCTGCTGGGCAGCTCCCCCTACGGTCCCTCTTCCAGCCCCTCACCCAGGCCGCCTGGTTGCCCACCCGTTGGCCGCAGCCTTCCTGAGGCGAGTAGTGGTGTGTTCTCACTTGTGAGGCATCCCTGTCAGAAGCACTTAGTGTACAAATTAGCCGCGGCCTCCCGCCTCCTCCGCTCAGCTTTGGGCTCTGGGCGCTGGGCTGACTCTCCTGCCTGCTCCAGGCACCTGCCCACAATGGAGCAGCAGGCCGGTCCTGCCTGCTGTCCAGGGCTCCTCTCAGGGCCCCCGACCTTGACCTGGATGGGGATGACCACAGGGGGAAGTGTCCAGTGGGATATGGGTGGTCTCACGCTCCAGGCCCAGCACCTGCATCTCCCCGAGTGGCAGGACCAGTGCTGATGGACCTAGAGCGGCTCCGCAGCCCCCGCAGCCCCCGCCCGCCCCGCCCGCTGGCCGGCCTGCCACTCAGGCAGGGAAAATCGCCTGTGACAGGCCCAGGAAGGCCGGGCCCCCGGGGCCGCAGAGGGACGCACACAGCTCCTTTTCCAACATATGGTTGCTGTCGGCCCCAGGCACTGCTCGGCCAGTGCAGCTCTGAAGCTGGGTGGGGGCTCCGTGGCCTGAGCCGCTCCTCCCACCCGCCTCGCCAGGCTGCTCCCTCTGTGATTTGAAAGGCCCCTGCCCCTAGCTTGCATGCCTCCCACGATGGGGAGCTCACTCCCACTGCAGCCCCTTGGTGCCTCCAGAGAGCATCCTAGAGCCCATCTGTCCCAGGGTCTGAGGCGAAGAGGGTCACGCCATACCTTGCCCCAGGAGTGTCCAATGATCACACAGGTCCTGAAGTGGAGCACATTGTGGGGGATGGTTTGGGATAGCAGGTGGGGGTCCCAAAGGAGGGAGCTAGTTGTGGGGAGGGACTACAGTGAACAGGTATGGGGCAGGCTGGGGTCACTAGGCAGGGGTCAGCCACCCAGCAGTCAGACAGGGGCCTTCTCCTGGGGTGCCAGGAGCCTCCAAGATGGACACCCTCTCCCTCCATGTGGGCCTGCTCCACCGCATGTCCCTGGGCCAGCTTGGGCAGACCCTCAAACACTCCCTGGAGTATCCCTGGGCCTTGAGTGTGCCCCCGTGGGCCACACTCTGCCCATCCTCACAGGTCTATAGTAAGGGTGCTCCCCCAAACCTCCCTGCAGCCCTGACCATACAGTCACCCAGCCTCATCACTCTGGCTCCACTGCTCCCTCACAAACCTGCTGTGAACCTGCTATGGCTTCCCAGAGCTCTCAGGGTCACAGGACTCAGACTGGTGTCCAGGGCCCTCAGGTATGGCCCTGCCCACTTTGAACGAGATGGGGGTCCCTGAGGCTACCTTGAATGGGCAAGGAGGAGGAAGTGCCTAGCACAGCCCGTGCTCTGGCCTGGGGGTGGGGGTGGGGCTCAGACCCTCTGGGGGCTACCATGTGCCTCAGGGTGAATATGAGCCATGGCCATCATCCTGCTTGGTACTGACCCCTCCCAGGGGCTCTGAGACTCTGTCTAGGGGCTCAACACCCTATCCCTCTACCCACTGGGCGTGCAGAGGCTGGCCCACCTCCTACACCTGTCTTGGTGAGGGCTATCTGTGGACACTGAGGGGATGAGACAGGCCTGCTCCAGGCACTGCGCCACTGTTCCCTACCTTCCCTGTGCCCACTGTCCGTCCTGCCCACCGTGCCCCTGGCACACAAGTACTGGCATTAATGGAGGTGACAGGCAGGAGGCCGTGGGTAAGCGGGCAGAGGAGGTTAATGGCTGAGATGCCTATGGCTGGGGGCAGAGGGAGGGGCTGCCTGCACCAGGACCAGCTGAGGAGAGAAGGCTGCTCCCTAGGACCCCACTGGTGCCAGAAGCACCCAGAGACCAAATCTGCCACCAGCCAATCTGCAGACGAGGGGACTGAGGTCCAGGGAGCATGGGCAGGGTTCTCAGGGCTCAGGGCCAAATGGGGACCAAGCCCCAAAGCATGAGGCTTCCTGACACCACCTCAGGGGGCAGGGGCTACCTCCCCAGGCCCATGCTTATCCCAGCATGCCAGGGGCGGGTCTCAGCAGGCGGGTCATGACTACTACCACTCCTTTTCAGGTGGAAAGTGGGACAGGCATCGGGCACAACTTGTGCCAGCTGTGAAGGAGCAGATGTGCCTAGGAGTGCCTCAGGCAGAGAGCATGGGGCACCAGGGGCTGGCACTGCTGTCCCAGCCTCGCTTGGCCACGGATGGTGGGATGTCATCCGTGCACCGATGGGCTGACCTGACTCCACCCCCATGTGTAACCCATTAGGTTGCAGCCACAGCAGAGATCTTGGGACCCCAGGAGCAAGCTCAGGGCCCCCTGCACTCCCAGCAATACCCAACCTGGAAGCCCAGACACTCCCCAGGTCGTGAGTCTCCTTGGCTGCTGAGTTCCTCCCACTCGAACTTCTGGAAAGGCCTATCCACAGGGGCTGCCTCCACAGCTGCTGCTGAGCTGTCCTCTCTGGACTCCTCCTGCTTTTCCCAAGGCCCAGAGTCCTGGCCCCTTCCCCCTCCTCAGGACTCCTTGGTTACCTGGCTTCACTGGCTGTCCTCTCCATATGCTGAGAGGCTGGGGTGCCCAGAACAAGGGCTTCCCAATCCAGCCCCTTCCTTCCCCTAGAAGACGGCAATGGCCTCCAACCAGCCCACCCCCTATGTTGGCAGCATGGCCTCTCCCAGGCCCTCAGAAGGGGCAGAAGTCAGGGCCAGGAATCCCAGAGCCATCCCTGGGACCCCCACCCCACTGTCTCAGAGTGAGCAGTGCCCAAGACAAGGGGCCCAGGCCTGGCTGAATATGTCTGGAGTGGGGTTCATGGGCAGAAGGAGCAGACCTCCCGGCCCCCACTCTCCACAGGGCTGCTGGCGTCACGACTGCTCAAGCTGTCTCCTGGCCTCAAGCAGCCTGCACGGTCAGCTGGTCAGCTGGGCCAGGCCAGGTGGGTGGAGAGGAAAAGTCTGGGGCGCTTTGCCCTGCCCCGGGGACTTGATGGGGAGAAGTGGGGCTCCCCCGCTTGTATCAGGGAAGGTGACACTGGGTAGCCACCCTCACTTCAGTGTCCTTGCACTGGATGCCTCCAGAACCACGGTGCCCTGCTCCTTACAGACACCCATCATGGTTGACCATAACTCCAACAACTAGGCTGTGACTTGTCACCTTCCAGCACAGATGGGGAGACCAAGGCCAGGCTCACAGGGCCCAGGAGATGAAAGACTGTGGACCCAGTGTTCCCCACCCCTTGGACCCCTGCAGGGTACTCCTTCCTTCCCCAGAGTGCCCCTGCTCCACAAACTGAGCTGGGATACCCCAGGAACCTGTAGCTGAGCCTGCAAGGAGAGCCAAGTGGACCCTCATGGGGCCCTCTGTGCCTCCACGGAGTGAGCTGGAGCAGCACGCACCCCTCCAATGGCAGACCCTGTCCCAAGCCCGCAGTGGCACACCACACATCTGTGGGTTAAGGCACCTTACCCTAAACAAAGGCAGAAATTCCCTGAGAAACCCAACTGTCCTGTCCTACGTGTCTGTGTCCAAGTCTGGAATGGAACTGGCTGGTCAGACAAACTTCTGCTAGGATCCAGCTGAGAAGTGGGACCCCAGACTGTTAAGTTTGGACAGCTTGGAGATCAACATGGAACCTGGTACCCTGGGACGTGGGGCTGGGAGCAGCTCTGGCCATGAAGCCCTTTCTCTGTCCCAACCTCATTCACCCCTGGTCCTCCCAGGAGGGACAGCTGGTGGAGAGATGAGTGGTGCAGCGTCCAGCCCAGCAGCCTTCCTTGGGCACCTGCAGGGGAGTAAGGAGTGATTGCTAGAGGGTAATGCTTCCAGAAAGGGGAAGTAAGTGCATGTGACCCTCCCTTCCTGAGCCAGTGGCTGTCAGTGGGCAGGGCAGGGGTCTGGGATGCAGACCCATTCAGCCTCCTGTTTGGAGAACAGGGAAGGGCACTGAAGGCAAGTCCTGCCCAGGGAAGTAGATGTGCTCCACTGTATGCACCGGGCTCCAGCCCTCCAGGAGCCAAACTCTGTACCCTTCTGGGCTGGGCTGCAGCTTTCCCTAGGCTGGCTCTGCTCCCCAAAGACCCCCTGTCCTGGGGCTCAGCCCTCAGCCTGACAGATGAGTGCTGACGTCCCCACTCCCTGAGCCCTCGGCCAATGACACCCCATCACACCGCTGTGTGGACCCCGGGAGACCTGACCGACTCTGCTGCACCCCCGCGGCAGCCTGCAGGCAATGGGGGCGGAGACCGTGCCAGGCGCCCCTCATTCGGCCGCACACCTGCGTCTCCACTCCGGGCTCCTCCGCGCCGCCGCCCATCCTTGCCCTGCTCGTGTGGTGCCACCGATGTCACCGGCCACCATTCCATCCATGAGTTACGGGAGCTGCGGGTATTGCTGAGCGGCTCCCGAGCGCGCAAGGCCGGTGAGTGCGCGGGGGATGGCGTGAGACTGTGGGCAGTAGACGGGAAGAGACTGGGGCAGGGGACACCTGAGGTGGCAGAGGGGAGACGGCTGTTGGCTTTCCCGCATCCCCCTCCCCCCGCGAGCCCGGGTCGGAGGTCGCTGCGCCCCCCGGAGCCCGACGCCGTGGCGCAAGCGCGGCCGCTCCTGCCGCCAACTTCGGTAGGTGCGAGTCGGCGTCGAGGGGACGCGGTCCGTGGCTGACGCTTCGG